TATTTTTCCACTGATTACATATTTAATTTAGGCCTACCTATACTGTACTGTATGTAAAAATGCTGTGTTAATTATATTCCCATAGTAACTGATTAGTAGTCCAATGTCTCCACAAAAACTAGGCTAAGTGTCATGGGTGATGGTTTTGTAAAAAAAAAAAAAAAAAGTGTTTTTTTTTTGTACATAGGCCTACATCGCGAATGTGGTGCAAGATTTATATTATTTGCTTTTGACAATTATAGCATCGTTTTCAGTATGAAAAATAAAAAAAAATAGAAATGGTCACCATCGTCATGTTCAATTCATCAGTAGGCTATTTGGCCATTCATACACACTGTGTCGGCATGGTCTTATAATGACTGCAATCCTATATAGGCGAGTCGTTTACTGGCCTAATCTAATCAAATACCTTTAAATAAATAAATGGCCCCAACGGCCAATTTAAGCCGTCAGGTAGGCCTATATTTATTTATTTCCATGTAATTGCAAAATGCAATTCACCATTTTATAAAATATAACAGACTAGTGAAGTCGAGGCTGTGAGTGTGTGTGTGTGCAGCGAGGCGCGTCGAGGGGCCCCCGCGGTGCGCAGATCTGGGGACCTGGACGAGGAGCGGTTCATCCTCCCAGCTCAGGATACATCACCTCTTTACATCTCCTATCTGTTTTTTTTTTAATTTAGCCCATGTTTTTAGGTTTTTTATTTTTAATAGTGTTTTTATTCGTCTCGGCTTGGTTGCCTTTTTCGGATAAACCCGGATTTGACCAGTGGATTATAGGCTTTATTTGTACTTTTGTTCAAGCGATTTTCTGTGATGAACGTGGACGCACGTCGACAATTTTAACCAACAAAAACACATGGATTTTAAATGAATGACCCGGGAACTCGTGGCAGACGGAGATGGTAGGCTATTTATATTTTACGGCCGTTATCTTTACTCCGAAATCAATGCGCTTGTCTTTTCTCATATGCCATCTGATTAACTGCCTGTAATAACGACACATGGACGATGGCCGTCATTTACCGTCCACGTCTCCTTCCCTACAGTATGGTTTTATCAACAGCTGTCTGAGGTCTCTCATAGTGGACAAGTTTGGCGAGGAGACATGGATCAGACTCAGGTGGGTTTCATTTCTCATTTCTTGATGAATTAGACAGACAAGAATAACATCATTCAGTTATCTTGTACATAGGCCTAAATATATAGGCCACTAAACTATACTTCCCAACATAACAATGACTGTAGGGATGCAGCTGAAGTCCAGGACTCCTACATGACATATGAAGTCTATAAAGATGAAATCACCATGCGACTGGTGACAGAGGCCTGCAAGCTCTTAGGTAGGCTATAGGCCTAATGGGTGGATACTACAGCCATTTTTTTCCCACTGACTTAAAACAAAAAAACATTTAGAAAACAAAAAAACACTTCTTTTTCCAGATGTGAAAGCAGAGGTGGTGCTGAAGCTGTTCGGAGAGTACTTCTTTGATTTCTGCAAGCGCTCCGGCTACGACCACATGCTGCGCACCCTCGGGGGAAACCTGTTTGAGTTCATCGAGAACCTGGACGCGCTTCACAGCTACCTCGCCCTTTCTTACAAGGTGCTCCTCGCTTCCCTTCCCTTTCCTCCTCCTGTGTATCTCCTCCTCCTGTGGATCTATCATTGGGTCTAATCATGTGTATTCATCAGTGCAAAAAAAAAACAACCAAAAAACAACACTGCTTCCTTGCAGGAAATAAACGCCCCGTCCTTTCGAGTGGAGAGGGACCATGAGGGCACCATGTTTCTTCACTACTACTCCGACCGGCGAGGGCTCTGCCACATTGTCCCTGGTAGTCTGAGCAAAACCTCCCCTTCATCACCGGATAACATAGATGCATTCATATGTAAAATGTCCCATTTCAACTATATTGTCATATGCATAATAACATATACGTCTAACTAACATCATCAATGAACCATCAGGTAATTCTTAGGCTATATGGAAACACTTTAAGTTGAACCTGTACAGGTGACAACGGTGTCTTTCCACAGGCATCATCGGGGCGGTGGCTCGAGATTTCTTCCGCAGCGAGATCACCATGGACATTGTCAACCAGCTGGAGGAGCTGGAGAGGACGGGGAAGAAGGAGCATGTGGTGTTCCTGGTCAGCCAGCGACCGGTGGCTGCTGCTGCTGCGGCGGTGGAGGCCGACCCAGCGGGGGGGGACAGCAGCCGGGTAACGTCAACGGCACGGTCCCTCCAGCCCCGGAGGACCCAGACCAACGAGGTATAAGACCCAACAAGTGGTGAAATATTCAGTCAAGGACATTTTTTAGTCATGATGATGTTTTTTAAACCGGCCCAAATGTATTGCGATAGGCCTACTAGTAAAGGCTTTCATAATGTAAACGTGTCGATATGCCAACTTCTGACGTATTCGTCTGTGTTCCCAGTAAGAAACTAACCGGAAAGAAAGATAGTGCCTTCGCCGTGTATAGGAGTCACTGGGAGACCATCCGGAGGCTCATTCGCCTGGGAAAAGGTATAGGCCTACAACCGTAACGTACGTGTGACTCACACACCTAAACTACAAACCTGTTTTTAGCCCTTTACAAAACAAGTGATGATTAGAGCATTTGTGACCATAACAGGCAAACTGTTGAGAGGGTTTGAGCCGGTCTACCCCGAACACCTCCACATCGATTTGAGGACGTTCTGCAACACGTTCCCCTACCATATCATATTTGATGAGCAGGTAAACGAGAACACCTCCTTGTATCTACGTTACCATTGGCCGTCGGCTATTGTGAGGGTGTGTTTGACGACGTGGAGCGTAAAATCAAACACACAAATCATATTATGACAAAGATGGTTTTTGTTTGCCAGCTGTTGGTGCGCCAAGCCGGGGTGAACCTGCAGAGGATCGTGCCGGGCCTTCGGACCGCGAACGCCCGCCTGGACCAGTTCTTCGGCATCGTGCACCCGGAGGTCACCTTCACCATCTCCAGCATCCGGAAGTTCATCAACAGCCACTTTGTCCTGCAGACCTGCAGGGAGATGATGCCCCAGGCGTGGAGGGAGAGGCCCATGCTGCAGCTCAGAGGTCAGAGACTTTTAAAACCATGAAGCTATGGTGCGTTAGCTAGAGCTGTGGCAGAGAGAGATCTACAGAGAGGTGTGGGTTCGATTCCGCAACGTTTGTGTATCAGTTAGTTTGGTTGACAAGATTGACAAGTCTTTAAAATCTTTAATCTTCTTGTTGTAACTCCAATCAGGGATAAGCCACACGCCACCACAAGTGGCGTTGCTAGGGTCCTCTGACATATAGGACACAGGTAGATGTAAACTGGAGAGTCTCTCTCTCTCTCTCTCTCTCTCTCTCTCTCTCTCTCTCTCTCTCTCTCTCTCTCTCTCTCTCTCTCTCTCTCCTTCTCTCTCTCTCTCTCTCCCCCCCCCCCCCCCCCCCCCCCCCCCCGCCCTCCCCTACAGGTCAGATGATCTGGATGTCCTCTCTGAACCGCATGCTGTACCAAGCGTCTCCCCTCCTCAGAAGCCTCCAGGAGCTGGAGGAGAGGCGCATGCACATCTCGGACATCGCGCCGCACGACGTCACCCGCGACCTCATCCTGCTCAACCAGCAGCGGTTGGCCGAGATGGAGCTGTCCAATCAGCTGGAGAGGAAGAAGGAGGAGCTCCACCTCCTCTCCCGGCACCTGGAGGAGGAGAGGAAGAAGACGGAGAACCTGCTGTACGCCATGTTGCCCAAGCACGTGGCCAACCAGCTCAAGGAGGGCAAGGCGGTCGAGGCAGGTGGGTCGCAGTGAGGACCCCGATTTTGAATGGCACTTCTCATGCACAAGGGAAATGCTAATGGATCTCCAACAAGCATGAAAGTCACAAAAACGACAAATATAACTCAACTCAAAATCACAAGCGATAAAGTGCAAAAGTGCAATGTTCAATGTTGACGTTGGCGTTTGCGTAGTACAGCCTGATATCCTGAGCACACGCGGTGCGCATCAATGCTTCAAGTGCGATACATTTGCGTCCTGCAGGAGAGTTTAAGGAGTGCACCATCCTGTTCAGTGACGTGGTGACCTTCACAGACATCTGTTCCCAGTGTGAACCCATCCACATCGTCTCCATGCTCAACTCCATGTACCTGCGCTTCGACCGGCTCACGACCGTGCACAACGTCTACAAGGTACGCCTTTACATGATAAGGTAACCACTCTTACCTACCTTTGACCATTCCATTCCTGTATGGCGTTTTGTCGTCCCCAAGGTGGAGACCATAGGGGACGCCTACATGGTGGTGGGTGGGGTGCCCATCCCTGTCTCCAGCCACGCAGAGAGGGTGGCCAACTTCGCTCTGGGAATGATCCTGGCTGCCCACCAGGTCATCAACCCCATCACCGGGGGACCCGATTCAGGTAAAACTCATTATCTCAACATTGTAGAATGGATAGTTCCGGTCCTTGATTCTGATTGGCTTGAAGACGTTGTAAAATAAACAGCACACCTGTGACCACATAATACATTTTTAGTATTAATACACCTGTATGCTAAAGCCTGTATGCTACTGTGTTGCTTGGCAACCATTTTGCTGTCTTGAGGAACGATAGTGCTTGGCGGAAGAATGATGATTTGTTCTCAATAAATGATCGCATTTTATGTTGCTGTGTGTTTATTTTGTGAAATCTTACTAGGTAGCCTGTAGCTGTTTTAGTAACTGTTCGCGGCGTGCCTAGCAACGCCCCTAGCAACGCCCCCTAGCTGTTATAAAATCACTGTAAACCATGGCCTCTCGTGGCTTATTGCTTAAATATGGCTGTCCTAACCTAAACCTAATATATAATAACTATGACGTCTGCAGCCATTTATCGTGGGTAAATGACTCACAGAGAGAATTGAGCAGGTAAGAATTAGAGAATTAGTCAAGATGGATTACACTTTTATTGGCCGACGTCCAAACTAAATTGTATTGAATAGCATTAGGTGTTACTGTATTGTCGCGGATACAACGTAGTGGTTAGGGTGTTTGACTCTCAGCCAAAAGGTACTGGGTTCGATCCCTGATGTCCCCAGACTGCCTGTGTAACCCCTTGTATTGCATTCTGTTGTACTCTAATACGATGCGACCTATCGTATTGCTGCAGATCCGTGTGGGGCTCCACAGCGGGCCTGTGCTGGCGGGCGTGGTGGGGGAGAAGATGCCCCGCTACTGTCTGTTCGGAGACACCGTCAACACCGCCTCCCGCATGGAGAGCCACGGCTTGCCCAACCAGATCCACGTCAGCTGCAGTGTGTACAAGTGAGGAGCCTACTGTATATACGTACACATGCATGAAGACCGTGTTTCCCAACCTCGGGGTCGGGATCCCACTTGGGGCCGCCTGATGTACATATGCGGTCATGGGAGATTGCTGATATTTTGATACATTTGTGCCTCATTAAAGGCACAATGAGTAGGATTTGTCGGTTGCAGTTTGTAAACACAACATTCAAAGTTGGCTCCTCCTCCCCGGCTGAACGACCCCCGAAGCACTTGCCGGCAGGTGAAAGCCAACCCAAGGTTGACTCTCGTTTTGGAACGAGCTTTGTCCACTTGGTATTTCTGTTTTTCCAGCTTCCTCTGGGATGCAAGCTTACAATCTGGGACCTGGTCGCTACGTTTTTATAAAGTCCCGCCTCAGACCCTGCGCGCTATTGGCCGGGGGCTACCGACCGCCCAGAGGGTTGAAGCCCAGAAACGTCCCGAACAAAGTAAAATACGAAAATACAGGCAGAGGGCAGGGTCTGTGAAGATAGACACCGCCACAAACTTCTAGTGGGTCACAACGTGATGATTGAGAGGGATTATTTTTGGATGAGTCTAGACATTGTTTTTTAGGAAAATCCTACACCCACATTATGCCTTTAAAATCCTGTGCATACAAATAGCATGCCTAATGATTTGTAGCCACAAGGTAAGTACTACTAAGCAGTAAGTGTGCCGCAAGGTGCATACTTTAACTGGGACACTGACATTCCGGGCTGATGTGCGTGGAAGATGCACAAAAACGTCAAGACATTGTCAGACCTAAAATTAGAGTCGCAGGCCAGAAAAAGTGGGGAACCACTGCATCGCAACATACGCAGACTACCAAATCTCTTGTGTGAAACAGATACTCTGTTTGCGTCTCCTCTCTGCGTCTGTGCTGCCTGTGTCCAGGGCTCTGAGGGGCAAAGGCTTCGTGCTGCAGGAGCGAGGGGAGATCGAGGTGAAAGGGAAGGGCAGGATGACCACCTATTTCCTGGAGAGGAACCTTGAAGCCAGTGAGCAGGACATCATGGGTCTCTCAGGTCTGGGGGCGGAGTCTGCACAGCCGCCCAGTCGGGTGGCCGGGGAACCTCGACGACCAGGACCTGGACCTGGTCAGTGTGTGTTTGAAAGCCCTTTGAAAGCATGCGATGTGTTAGTTTACAGAACCTGTTCTGAATGTTTGAAAATAGCTCTTTTCAAGCAACTGGTTTTCTCTGAAGCTTAAAGTATAACTTGGGGGTTTTTCAACCTGGACCCTAGGGACTAATGCGGACAACATTTTTTGCAATTGGTCCAGTATTGAGCGAGAGGGCTTTAAGCCGTCAGCTGCGAAAAGGGGCGCAATGTAAATCCATAGGTCATCTAACCAAGTCTCGCCAAGGAGAAGTCTCGCTCTGAACTCTCCTTGGCGAGACTTGGTTAGACACAATAACAAAAGACCGGATCAAGTGTAAGGTAAAGACAAATGGTTTATTTATCTGTAGGGATCCTTTCCGTAATGTCAGTGGCAAAACAAGCACTTTTAGAGGACGTACATTGACAGGTCGCTAATTGCCCTATAGTTTTACATTGCTGCCCATTTCGCTGTGCCGACAGCTGATGCCCTCTCGCTCAATCCTGGACCAATTGCAAATAATTCTTGTCTGAAATGATGGGAAAATATGGTCCAGGTTGAAAGATAAGTTATCCTCGGAAGACATTTTCCGCCAACGTTTCCTCTCATTTACCCCCCTCTTTCCTACAGACCAAAAAGCAGACCAAAGGGTGGGCTGTTGTCCCGTGCCTATGGATTATGGGGACATCCCCCCGACTGAGCCCCGAGTCCCTGACCCCCCGCTGCCACCTTGCCCCGCTATGGCGGCGCGGGACTCGGAGAGCTATGGGAGCCTCCACACGGACAGCCAGTCTGAGGAAGGGTCCCTCAAGAAGCTGCAAGCCACCATCGGAACAGAGATGGGGCTTCTCGGCCAATCGGAGACGACAACGAAGTTCGGGGAGGAAAAGTTGAGTAGATTAGACGGAAAGCGTAGGGGTGGTGGGGGAGAGCAGCTGGTCACCGCTAGCCAGGAACCGTCCGCCAACACTCAAGACAGACACAAGCAAACTAAGATTTGTGTGATTCTGTGAGCTAAGCTAAAAAAAAGGACACGCGCAAGATTAGGGCATTGTGACGACGATCGAAGGTTGAGGTCTCACCTACTAGTTTGTC